TCTGGTGATGTAAGATTACTATGTTTCTGAAGGCTGTAAGTTATAGCAAGATATAGCTTATTCTGACTATTCCTGCCCTTGTTCCTGCTCCCGTATATCTCAGGCCATGTAACTACTATTTATCATCTCAATTTCATTTCAGTTGGCTGAACCAGTGCAGTTCTGAGAAGGAATCTGGGCTTTGTAACGTGAAAGGAAAGGGCCAAGTTAACCTGCATAAAATGGCAGTGAAGAAGAAGGTAAGCAATTTTCCATCAGCAATGTCATCATCAGTGGAGATTAATGAGAGTTTTTTTCATGAAACAGACAAGAAAACCCTCACAAAGAGCTCTAGTTGTACTACATAGAGCATTTCACCATTGCTTCACCTCTTGAAGCCAAAAGAAACAATCTTTTCAACTTCAACGGACTTTGATCCAAATTCTTATAAAGTTGACCCCTTATAGAGAATGAGTGACATTATCTTTAGAAGGAATTTTATTTTGTCTGTTGTGTTCTTTTTCCAGCTACCTTCTTGAGACTACATTGAGGTCAAAGTTGTACAAGCAGGGCTGTACACAAGACCATCCTTCCCCTGAAGGATTCACAATTTAAAGGATTCAACCTATGTCCCTAACCCTGCAGTTTGTTACTTGACAGCAGTTTCTTAGCACTGGTTTGCTCCTTATTTGTAATCAGAACTCATTATTTAAAAATTACTTCAGAATGAGTTCAGACAGTAAAATACTATATTTTTTTCATATACCTTGTTTTTGAAAGCAGCCTGAAGAAAAAATGGTCTTTCTGGTGTGTCTACATGAAATGTTTACTGCAGAGCTGCCTAATTAGCTCCGTGGTAAATATCTCTGCATTTACACATGTGCCTCTATTAAGGGACATGAAACTAATAAACTCTGGAGCAGTTTATTTACAAGCCTGCATCAGAGCTTTTTTGTATGCAGCACCACACATATAGACACTGCCTGGCAGTTAGCGCTGCACTGAAGTCCCCTCGTGCCTCAGCCAGCCCCTCTACAGCACATCGGCCCCAGTTGGAGCGGCCCTGGGCTGCTGTCAGTTGAGCCTGCTCTGACTGGGCTCAATGTACTGTGTACAAATAAACTCCGGAGCAAAATACACGTTAAAATGATGCAACAAAAAACTATGGAGCAATAAGCTCTGGAGTTTATTTGTGCATATTAACTGTACATGTAGATGTGCATTCCTTGTCATAAATAACTGTGTAGCAGCAGCTAGGGACCTCAGCCTGCTCACTGTTCTGCTCCCCAGGACCTGCATGAGGATGTTACTTTCACTTTTGCTCACAACTTGCAGAAACTGTTTTTACCATATTTCTCACATATAATGTACAATATAATTTCCAGAAGCTGGTTTTTGGGGAAACGGCATGTATACATGAGAAAATACAGTAGTAGTCAGAGTAGCTGAGTTCTCAATAGAGAGACAAACTTAAAAAAAAAAAAATCATCAATTTAAATAGACACTTTCAGAAGTGGGTTCAATTCTAGGGTTTTACTTTTCACACCTAGCATTTTGACTTATAGGTGATTGGCTATCACAGAGTTACATGAAATGATTACTTTGGAGTAATTTATCTTGGATTTTAATTTGTAGCACATTTAGCAAGGAGTGGATACACAGCCATCTGTGCCAAACAGACTGCCCACTAAAGATGCTATTACATCACCTGAGTATGAGGTAGAATGGAGCCAATTATTTCTCACACAATGGTTACTGCAGGTTGGTATTGACAAGGAGCAGTTGCAAGCCATTTTCTATGTCAAAGCTTTATCACACTGTGGGCATGTCTACACAAGATGGTAGCGCTGTAGTGTCCATTGGCAAAAATCATGGTGCCACCACTATGTCACTGTAGCAATGCACTCCCTTGTTGCACTCCCAAAAGGAAGTACTAGATGATGGTGCAGTAGCAAACGTGCTGTTTGGCCATGTGTAGATGAACCCAGTAATGTTATTGCACTTCTTTCAAAGAGTAACTTTACTGTAGACCTGTTCACTTTAGAAATTGTCATTGGCCCCATAAAGGATGAAAACTTTTTTTTTTTTAATGAGAGCTGAGATTCCTATGCTATCACCTGACTCCAGGGTAAGCTCCTGACCCCAGTGAAATAAATGCTTTAACTCAGATTGCCTTCTATCTGGTCAAGATTCATCTGAAATACTTTGAGATGCACAAAGAAATCATGAGATTGAGCCACACTGAACTTTAATACGTTGAAAAACTTCCCCAAAACTAAAGCAGAATGCAACAAAAGTTATTTGAAAAAATAAATCAGTAATAAATTCATTTGAATGGTACAACACAAATCAACCAGACTAATACACTTGTGACTGGACAGGCCACTTAGGTTTGTATTCATAGGTTTTTCTCTAGTTTTTAAATTTTTGTTTGTAATCATGCCACTGTCTTTTCTTCTCGGGCAGCCCAGGGCAAAATCCCACTGGGCACATCTACATATGCTTGATCTGGGATCAATTTATTTGAGAGTAAACTACTTGTGATCAAATACCCCCAAGCAGCTGTCTACACATGGCAGCAAATTCCTCCTCCTTCCTGAGGCCCTTCAATGGGCCCTCGCTGCCACCATGGGGAGGTCTAGGCTCCCTCTGGGTGCTACCCAGGGGCTGGCAGGGAGCACCGGGCCAGGAGACAGCTGTCTCCTGGCTGAGGCTAGGGCATTGCTCCCTACCCCTGGGGCTGCCTGCTGCCAGGGTGGGGAAAATGTCCCCCTGCCCCAGCAGCAGGGGGATCCTGGCCGTGACCCTCTAGTCAGGAGCAGGGGACTTGGAAAGAGCTGCAGGGGAGGGGCACATCCCAGTCCCCTGCCCTAATCTGCCAATGGGGCAGCTAGCAACTAGTGTGCTGCTAGCTGCCCCACCACCAGATTGGGGCAGGGGACTGGGCCCTACCCCACTCCTGCAGCTCTTTCCAAGCCCAGTGCCTCAATTACTTGATTGGGGCATAGGGCTGGAACTTGCCCCTGACCAGGACAGTTCCCATCTCCAACCCTGTTTGTGGGGTGGAGGCTAGGGTGCTTATTCCCCACTCAGCTCCATAAGCACAGAACAGGCTGGGGAGCTTATTCCCCGCTCGGCTCTGCAAGCATGGTCCCCACAGGGAGCTATGGGTCTCCCAGCACCGTTCCTGTTGTCACAAAGCTGGTGCTGCAAGGTAGGATTTCCCAGCACCAGCCCTGTGATCATGGAGTTCACAGTGGAAGATAAGGATCTCCCAGCACCAGCCGTGTGGTCATGGAGCTGGTACTGGGAGATAAGGCTCTTTCAGCCCCCTGCTCTGCAATCACGATGGCAAAGCAGGGGCTGGGTGATTAAGGATCTCCCAGCCCTCACTCCTTGATCACAATTTCATAGCAGGGGGCTTGGAACTCCCTGCTGCCAGGGCAGGGGGACATGGTTCTCGCCTGGACTCCAGTGATAGAGCCCACCCCAGCAGCAGGCGGCAGTCTCCCACCCCTTGGTGGACTGCTGATCAGGAGCAGAACTGCTCCCAGTCAGGCATCTACCCGAATGCTACTGCACCATTATTGATCAAAAGTAAATTTGCTACTTGAATTTTCAGATAGCAAATTTACTTGTGATTAGAGAGGTTTACTGTGCAGTAAGGATGTGCACGTGTAGACCCACATGCTTACTATGGAGTAAACTGTGCTACTGCACAGTTAAGCTTCTCATGCAGATGTGTCCATTGTCTACTTAGCCTCTTTTCAGAGTCCACACACTCTATCCCAATCACTAAGCCACCCCTGCTTCTCTATTGGCTCTCCACCTATGTTTTATTCTCCAAGTCATACATGCCTATGTTACATTCCTATGCATATACTAGGAGTAGGGAGGAGCGGGGGAGAGTGGATTTTTGGCTGTGCACAGCACACTGCTCTAATGATTTTCTGCAGTGCCAGAATGGCTTACGGATGTAGAAAGAACACATTTTTTTGCAAATCTTTTTTTTTTTAAATAGAAAACAGGCTTCATATTGTACCTATAATTGAAGAGGAGAAATCTGAGATTTCTGCAGGCATTTAAGAACATGTGTATAAGATTTAGGTGAGTATAGATTCAAGTACATAAATGATAAATGAAATATGGGCAACAGTGAATTATTTATTGCTACCCATAGAGGAACAGGTACAATGTGTTTCAGGCTGATTCTTATTTAAGACCCTGATCCTGCAGATACTTACTACCACTGAGTCCAAACCTGCATGGAATTGTGAATGACATTGCAGTGATTGCTAAAACAAGAGAATTCCCGTCTAAAGCCCTAACAAGACTAACTATATGTACAGCTAGATGCAACTGCCTTACCACCATCTCCAAACTCACATCCTGCAACTTGCACTGACCAGATTCCTACCAAGATGCATCTGGCTAATGATGACTCTTTAAAAGCTGTCTAAGTTTTAAAGCAAATGCACGTACTTCATCCATGACCAAATCACGGTGGTTAATAACCTTATTAGCTATTAGCTACATTAAAGTGCACAGTTTGGAGAGTGCCATTTGGCACCCAGCACACTGGAAAAGAGACTGTAGACAAGACCAGCTGGACAGATATTACATTATCATATTCAGACTAGATATTTATCTGGTCTTCCTTTAACAACCTTGACAGAAAGCAAAGAGCCCAAAATCCTCATAACCAAATTCTTATCGGTTCTAAGGTAGAGCTAGCTGCTCTGTCCTCAGTCATTCTATGACGTTGTTTGAAGAAGTGCAGTTGCCACAGCTGAGTGGATGAATAAAGACCACTGGAGAAGGCTGCAAACACCTTCTAAAGTTAAAGTATGCCCAGCTTCTCAGCAAATCTGCAATGTGAGATCTTCACTAATCCACCTCCCAAGGAAAAACACACTTGATGGTAAAACAGAACTCTAACTTTCCCAAGAGCCTGGACACTTTTTTCTTTCTCCTTTTTCTAGCTACCCAACAATTTACATACCAAGAAGATTTGTACAGACCTATCACTCTGTGGAAGTGGATTCCTGTTATTGAGGGCGGTGTGTGGCTCAGGATCAGTAAGGAAAAAAAAAGAAATACATTCTTCTGTCCCCTGTCCTCAGGGTATATGCCTTACCCTATTTATCTGCCAACATCCCCTTGACAACATAAATCTTTCCTATCTACTGTCTAAGCCTCCCTCCTCCCTCTCCTTTCAGTCAGACTTTTCTCTGACTCTCCCTGTATAAAGCAGTAAGCACAAACCACAAAACCCCATGTCACTCTTCCTCATATCCCTAATTGTAAAAAGCAATGGTTTCTCATGAGAGTAGGGGCATTTTTCAAAACTGTATTTCTCTTCCCAACCCTTCTGTTGGAAGTTCTTGTTGCCAGGTGTGGGGGCTGGGCCTCCATAGCAGGAAAAAGGCTGTTCTTATTGCTGTTTCTGGACCAATTAGAAGCAGGAAACACTGGAAGTCTTAAAGATGTTTCCATCCCAGCTTTCCAGCTCAATGTGGTTAAGATAGCTGATATCAGATAATCATCTGAACTTTAGGGTCCTCATCCAAAATGAAGTGAAACTCCAAACTCTGTAGTTTGTCAGTCACAGCAGGCAGTACCCTCTACTCTCTCTAGTTTGTTAAACTACAGCCCTTTTATAGAGTTTTCTCAAATCACCTTGGTGCAAACTGGATTGCATGTGTAGTTGTACAATGGGAGACAAATGGTTAAAGAGTTCTAAGAAATCCAGTAAAAGATACAGTGCACATTAGTTTTATATAAATGTATATATAATTGGTTACCAATAAAATTAAGAAAAAATAATAACTATAAGAGGATGGCACTGTCATTTATTCCTAGTTGTGTCTAAAATGTAGGGTGGGGATATCATGCCATGGTATGAATACAAAGCACAGAATCCTTGCCATAGTCTTTGTTTCTGTTTTTTCTCCCATGGGATTTTTAACCAGTAAAGCATTCGCTCAATATTCCATTTCATAAAAACTTCTAAAATTGTAAGAAAACATAATTGGATGTGCACTGTACAGCTTGAGCTTCATAAACATTAAGCCCAACAACTTAGTATAAATAATACTGATACAGAAGATTAGCTCTATTAACCTCTTAACTGAGCTGGAAGCATTACCCTTTTCCACAAACTACTGCTATACAATTATAGACATACAAACCCATACTGCCTAAACTTAATTTTCATAGTCACTGCCGTTTTCACATCTGTGCTACAGAACTTCCATGCTCCTGGCCCTACCATGTCAAAAATGCACAGTGGCAGATTGGCATATTGAGCTATTAATAATTTGCTATATGTGTTACAGATGTTGCATAAATGAACAGCGTTCTATCACTATTTCTTGACATTGGGGCCCTTGGGGTGGCAGACTAAGACCTAGATCTGTCTACAACCTGCCTGTTTTGGCAAAAAAGAGAGTTGCCCCTTATTGCAGAATCACATTCCAGCTTGCATAGTCAATTTTTCAGATGTTCTTGCTTTCCTGTTCCTTGTTCCTTCACTCAGATCTCATATGGCCACAATGAAAAATGATGTGATGCAATTTTTTATTCTCTGTTTGACACTGTTATGGAAGGCAATGTGGTTCATTGATTCCAAACTCCAAAAAGGTCAAGGAACTAGGAACAAAGATTTTTTGGAAGCAGCCCAGGAAAAACTTTAAACTTGGACCACGTATACCCAGGAAAACAGAACTGTTAATTGTTACCCCTTCTGTTGCTATTAAGCTTCATATGAACACTGAACATATGTTCTGTGATCATGTACTTTTATATTAAAACATTATTGAGTCACCAGGTGAAATGTGTATTAAGTGCACAGCTGAAAATAGACAGTAGGTTTAAATTTTGACAGCAAACAGCTGTAGGATTTCAAAAACTTAATTCAAATAATGTAATCAATAGGTTATGCTACAGTTTCAAGTTTCCCCAAACAAATGTATATGAAAAATGATATTAATTTATTTGAGATTAGTTCAACTAAAAGATAGATTTTTCTCTGTCACCTCTGAAACATGGATAGAAAACAAAAGGTGAGATGCTATAAGAAGTACAGCACACATTTTTCAGTTTAGCACACTACAAAATTGTGTGCATGTGTGTGTGTGTCCCTCTCCACTGTCGATTAGTAATGATTACTCACCGTGCTGTTTACTCATTCAGCAGCTGTACAAGTTTTGAAATGCTAATATATAAATTATGTTCTCATTCATCATAAAAAATGGAGAATGGTTCAAATCCAAACATAATACAAAGAACCAGGGCTTTTTTGGGTACACATAAAACATGTCAGAGAGTTTAACCTTCAGTAAAATTTGAGTTTGCAGTCAAAACTCAAGCTAACTTGTGCCACATGAAACTCAGAATGAGATCTATGTTAAATATGCATTGGTTTTGAGTATTTGAAATTAATTTGTGTGGTATCTACTAACCAGTTAGTTGGTTTAAGAGACTCTGTCACAGGGTAGGACCAAATTTATTTTGGTCACTGTGCTGAAAACATACTGAAAACACTGAATACCATTTGGTTTCCAACACCTACCTTCTCGGCCTGCTTACCCATGGCCTTGAAATTATACAGCTTTTTGCCATTACACAGCATTTTTCCATTCTGACAAACCATATATCAGCCTCAGGGTGAGATTTTTGTGACATAGGTAACTTGCACTAAGTTTACTGGTGTTTTCCTAACTGCTAACATTTATCATTTGTGAGCATATATACGAACAAAACATCATTTTCATAAACATTAGAGTATGACTTACCGGCAAAATGATCAAGATAAGTTGTCAGTTTTTCTTTTCAGAGGTAAAACCCATTTTCCCTTGGCAGCTGTGCTAGAGGAGGCTTCTAATTTCATGCTTTAATTTTGTTTTATCTGTTTAAACTTCTTTACAACCCATTTGGAATTAAATGCCACATTCCAGTGAGAGGCAGAGTCATGCAGTTGGGAAATTCAATAGATTTTGTGTGTATATGTACCTGCGTGTGTGTGTGTGTGTGTGTGTGTGTGGAGATCAGATTTTTGGGTGGTGTATATGTCTATTGACTTATAGTAGCGGAGTATCTGGCCACATATGGTTGTTTTTGCAAATAATTGTTTTTCAGTTGCCAGAAAGATCCTGAATATGGAATTTTCAGGAAAAAAGACGCATCCACACATGCAAGCATGTGCACTTGCAGCAGCTCAAATAGAAGCAGTGCAAATTTGAACCGGGACTTTTTGCACGTTTACTTGGCCATGCACTTTGTTGTGGAGCAAATTGTACCACTTGGGGCAAAATAACCATGCCTGGCTCCTCCCACATCTTCAGCTAGGGGTAGCTAGAGCCTGGGGCCAGCACCTGTGCTGTTCCCAGCATTATAAAAAGCCCCCCTGGCAAGTAGTTGAGGGCTACTCGCTCTCAGGAGCTATTGGGGCCCAGCCAATTGGTACCTGGGGACACTACCCCTTGTGCCAGCTGGACTGCTGAAGCAGCCCTGAGAGTTCCCTGCACCCTCTACCCACTGCAGCAGTCTGGCAGTGGGGCCTGCTGCATGGCTGTGACCTGCTGTGTACCGGCCAGACCCAGATGGGGACTACACAGTGAATAGAGGCATCTACCCCCTGGGCCACCTGCCAGTGGACTGTGGCTGCAGAGTTGGCCTCTGTGTGGCACTACTGTCACATGTGCCCCCTGCTTGGCCATCTGGGCAGCTATCACCCGGAAGATGTTCTGGGTGTGGTGGCCTGCTTTGAACTGACAAAGCATGTTCTCCCAACAGGGGGTTACGGTGTCCCAAAAGGGGGTTCGGCTACCACACAGGTGCTACTGCCCCCAACAGGGGCTATGGCCCCCACTCAAGGGCTATACCCCCCACACAGGGGTGACAGTCCCCCAACAGGGGCTATGGCCCCAGAACAGCATTTATGGCCCCCACACAGGGGCTATGGCCCCCCAACATGGGTTACAGCCCCTACACAGGGGATACAGCCCCCCACAAGGGCTTTGGCCCCCCAACAGGGGCCAAATGACCCCCACAGGGCTACCCCGTAGAGGGCCCATGTGTCCCACCCCAGCCCCCCGATTGCTTCCCCACCTGGCCCCATCCCCTGCCAGCTGCTGCGGCTTCCTGATGGCTGCCCCACCCCCCACTTCCCAAGACCCCCCGCAATGGCTGCCCTGTTACAATAAGTGCATTCATCTAGGTAGAAGGGCTGTGTGAAACTTTGGTTGCTGATTTGATTCAGCCGAATCTCTGAATCTGAATTGAATTGGGAGACCAATAAAAAGATCTGAATGGATTTGACACCTCTGAATCAATTTGGAAAAGATTTGGAGATTCAGGCAGTCCCTGCTTGCTGCTGCAGGGAGCTGGACCCGGACTCTGTGCTGGTAAGTAGGGTGTGGGGTGGGGGCTAGAGGAGAGGGGAAGGGACCATGGAGGGATCTCTGCCAGGCCCTATCCCCTGCCTGCTCCCCCAGCTTCCCTGAGAGCCCCCCAACCCCTGCCTGCTCTCCCAGCCCTGTCAATGGCTGCCTGGCCTGGCCCCAGTGTCCCAGTGCTTTAAAAAAAGCACCACACTCACTGGTGGGGCCTCCTCCCACAGCAGCTGTTGGGGCCTCTGGGGACTTGTGCCTCTCCACAAAGTGTGGGGCAGTGGAAAGCAGCAGGGATCACCTCCCTACCTGGCAGAAACCGGTGAGTTCAGGGCTTTTTTTTTTTTTAAAGTGTCGGAACACTGGGGCTGGGTGGGGCAGCTATGGGCGGGGCTGAGGGAGTGGGTGGGGGATAGGGCCTGTTCGATTTGGAGATTTGGCGGTGGCCGAATCTCTGAATCAGATTTGGCCAAGTCAATTCAGGACAATGATTTGAATCACTAAATCGAACCACTGTCCCCCGAACTGGCCAAATCCGAATCTGAAGTTAATACTAGCTGCTTTGCACAGGCCTACTAATTAGCATGTACTGTTGATACACTTTGGACCAGTACATAGCTAGAAGGGGAGGAGGGACCTTCTACTGTCCACATGGAAAAAAAAAAAGAGCACCAGCTCTTC